TTGCAGAAAACACACCCCTCATAAAGTATCTCAATACAAAAAGGGTAAAGATTCTTTATATGCCCAAGGTAAGTGAAGGGATTTTCACATTATCTTCGTGAGAGGGAATGGTCAAAATTTTTCGGTCGTTGGAGTAACGCGTCGAGTAATTGGTTCTTGTTTCTGATTAGGCAAAAGACGATACGATCGTAAACAATCAGGTTATGGTGGCCAAACCAAACCCGTGTTTCACAAGAAAGGTATGAAGTGTTGGAGTTTTCAAAAATTTGAATTTAGACCCGAATTGCTTTTTTCAACATATTTATCCTAATAGCCAAGACCACCAAAAAAATCGTTCTTCGATTAGAATGTCAGAGTTGCAAGGTGTGTTTTCCAACATATTTGACACTTGGGTTATATAACGTATACTAAATTATTTTCCTTTTGCCTAATAGTATAAACACCAAATTGCTCTTAAACGATGCAAACATTTCGAACTTGGTGGTGATAAAAAGGTAAACAGTATCAATTGCTCATTCGATATTTCGATTTCTAAAATTTCTTTTTATTAACATATTCAACTTTATTATTACTACTCTAGACCAAGGGTGCCGCTCTTGTTTTTTAGAATTTATATTCATGATTATTGTGTGATTTTAGAGTCAACATATTCATATTAAAATTTACTGTCGTGCAAAAATGAGCATAATGTCCATTCGTCACCAACCTGTTTGTTCTTCAGCAGATGCACCTCCCTTATGACTCTCGGAAGAATACTGACCTTTTTCATTACTATAGTTCTCTTCGCCCCAACCATTATTACAGTTCTCTTCGCCCCAACCATTATTACAGTTCTCGTTGCCCCAACCATTATTACAGTTCTCGTTGCCCCAACCATTATTACAGTTCTCGTCGCCCCAACCATCATTCCATTTTTCATTAGAGTCAAATTCATCAGTTGGCCAACCTGGATCATCTTCAAATATTTCGTTATTTGTATATGACTCATCTTTGTCCTCTTCGGATGAATCAAGTTTATACTCTCTGTGTGCAACCATCTCTTCCTCGTTAATTAATGTAAATTCGGTGCTGCTGCCAATCACTTCCCGCAATCTGTCCCTACTTTTGCAAAGTAGTCTAATTTGGTGAATGCTCCAGAGATCATCAATTCTGAAATGACTCCGCTTAGTTTCATCATACGATATTACTGGGTTACAGAGATATTGCATGTAATAATGAATCACATCGAGAATTTCCGCAATGTTCTTATCGGGTTCATCGTAAAACGGAAAGATGATTTTTTCAACATGTTCGTAACTTCCAAATTTGGTTTTAATGGGTTTTGCTTCTGGTTGCAAGTCTCGGAATATAGCAATTTGCGTGGCAAAACCCACTGCCGGATCACTATCTTTTAGCTTTCCGACTCCCGTGTATTCGACAGAATAATTATACTTTAATGATCCCGCGTTTCCCCTTTTGAATTAATATCCAAGTCCATTACTCATCCGACAAATCGCAATGAGACTGTGTAAAATAATTGTAAACTTCACCTACCATTCCTGAAACTCCTTCCTACTCCATTCAAACTTGTGATCATCAATTCTTAATGTTGCCTCGGGTGTTCCATATTTTAATTGAGGAAAGTAGACATTAAATTCGACGTTAGGTGTAGTCACAATTAAAACTTTTGGCTTATAGGTCCCCAGGACAATATCGAAAAATTTGTCTAACACGGGCGGGTAGACATGTTCTATTCTTATGGTAGAAAAAAATTTTTCATTCCCTCAATATTAAGCAAATATGGTTACCGCCTAGATAAGAAATAATTGTTCCTACACTTCCATGCACACGATGGCTTCAAATCCAAATAATCTTTCGTCAGCAACATCAATACTTCCTAGGAAACAAAACAGATAAATTCTTACAGCATGAATGTCATTGGTTGATAAGCGCGTGATCTTTTTTACCTTGGTATAAATCCACGGTTAATGGGCTCAACCTCAAGTATTCTTTTTCGTGATCACGTGGCTGACAACGTTTTGCCGCTATTTCCATTATTTCTTGACTAATATCGACGCCAGCGAGGCGCGTAATCGGATAATCTTCGTAAGGTTGAATAAGAAAAGAGAGGAGCAAGCCTTCTCCACAACCATAATCAAATACCTAAATGTGTTCATATCCATATTCTTAACCAAGTCTCACTCCCACAAGAGAAAAAGCTTTCACCAAAACTGAAATATGTACCGAAGTCACTTTGCTGTTTCGCAATACCTCATTTACAAGAGTTCGCCTTTGTATCCACAAAGGAGGATCAAAGAAAACAATG